TTTAGTCTGCAAACATTTTCCTGTGTTTCGCACATTCAGTAGAGCTGTGTTTCTATTTACTAGGGAAAAGATGAAACCAACCTTATTTTCAGACAATACTTGGAATATCTGCAAAAGAGTCTGACCATCGAGGAATCAGACCAGCCACTAGTTGTATCACCCAATGTATTTCTGATGGACCAGGGAACAAGGGGCGTTGTCCACATGTGTGTTGACCCACTGGGACTGCAGCAAGGGTCATACGGGCAAGAAAAAGGATTTTCATTAGCCTTATGTAAGCTTTCACCACATCAGGTACAGTATAGTGATGTAACATTGACCTAATGTACCAATAGTACTGTATATGTACAACTGTGATAATTGTGAAAAAGGTGTATACTGAACATACTTTCTTTTTCACAATGATTTTTTTAGAAAATGATGTGACAACATTTGCTGCAGGTTTGCTGGACTAGTGGACCGTTTAAATTTTGGTGTGTGCCACATTTTCAACGTAGCAATAATGGGGGATATCCATCAATTAATGGAAATAAAAAAATGGATCGAGGAACACCGTGGAATCTGCCAACTTGGTTTCGCATGTGTTAAAGGAGTTAAACCAGGTATATATTAGCATATTAACGGGCAATGTAAATAGTAAGATTTTAATGTTCACGTTTACGGCAAAGGGATAACCGTGTCTGTCGTAGAGAATTTATGCCTCAATTTTAATTAGCAAATTGCCCGAAGCTCTATCATCTAATAATTGGCCCCAAAATACTATCTTCAATAGTTTGTCGATTGCAGCTAGCCGCATGTCTGGTGTAATTGTCAATCGTAAGGTCCTTAATCACTTTGTTTAATCCACCTTTTGGGTTTCTGCTCACCATAGATTATTTTGTTAAAAGCATCCTGGTATTTTCTAGAGGTTCTCGCGATGCAATGTTTTTAGATTTTATTTTTGTAACAAAATTTAGTTAAACTTGTCTGCGTTTGTTATTTCTGCCATTCAACTGTAAAATTAGAAGTTCAAATTCACGTACACTCGAAAATACGTCAAATTTACACGCATAAAAGCATACCTACTGTAAACTGTAACCGTATTTTGCAATGCATACAACAAAATTAACTTACGCATTGTTCCTGCATTTTACAGGTCCTAGCGTTGGTATGGTACGGGCTGTAGAGGGGTTTCTCCTCTACCATGCGGCGCCTGGGCAACGGCTGCTGCAAGATCATTTTAATTTCACTGCCTGCACTGAGAATTTTATTATTGTAAGTCAAGAGCACAAGGAGTTGCAGGTGTGGCATTCTGTAGTTGAAATGTTCAGTAGACCAGGCGATTGGATTCTTGACGTAATACGCCACAAGGTATGCAATTATACCAGTACTGATGAAATACTAATAATTTTATTATGCACTGTTCACATTGTTGCTGCCGACTAGTTACAATGAATTATCTGGAAACAACTGGTGTAATCGTGTTGTTAATCGTTGATACAAAAAAATAATTTAACTTAACCGCTTTTACTGTGAAGTTTCATTTACACTGTTCTGATGGGTGGCGGATTCAAAGGACATAGTCAATCATCTAGTCAGTGGTGAAGGTCATTTCTGTTCGTAGTGGTTTATTCAACTATCTCAGCGCTTTGAACTTTATTTAGACAATTTCTTTTGTCTTATTTAAATGTTAATTAGGCTTTTCGTCAAGTTGACAAAAATTTGAGAAACTTTCTTGTTAATGCAAAATTGAAACCTTTCAATATGGGAGCTAAAATGATAAGGTTGATTAGCTGTGTCCCATTATGCAACTTTACACTATCATTGGATCACTAGCTTTCTTCCTTCAGTTTATTCACCTATTCGCGCAGCATATTTTAAAAGTTTCCCATAAAAAATAATTAAATATTATGCAGTATAACATTCCAACTAAATTGATCTATTTTTATGACTGTTTCAGTTGCTGGAGCTGCTGCAGCCATGAAGGAAGGCAGGAATGTTTTATGCTTAACACCAAATGAAGAAGAAGCAAGAACGTATTGCGCAAAATTTTGTGATTTGAAAAACTAATTATATAATTCTATATACATGATTCTTTGCATTTGACTTTAGTATTTTGGTTGTGATGTGAAGGTCTGCAGGTAAACTAAATTTTGGCAGACTCAAGTCGCTTTATGTTCTGGAATTCAGCTGCCCAATTTTTCACTGGTCGGTTTCGCTGCATGCATTGTCGGTTGATAAATAAGATTTTGACAGAATCAAGCCGTTTTGGTGTCTGCTGTTGAAAACCCATAAAACGTTGATCGCGGACTAAAATTTGGCTCTAAAATCTCATCTCTGCTTAGATGTGTTTCATTTTGAATTATGCACATATGATTTAAAAACAGTCAAACCAATATTTTTCTGAAATTGGGCTACACTCTGAAAAAGTGCTTTTTATTTCAGTACACGATCGGTGACAGTACAAACTGAATTCAGCCTTTAATCTCGATTCATTTAATTGTTTATATCAGATTTGTGACAAACTCACGCCGTTTATGGCGTCTGAAATTTAGCTTCTCAGTTTATCGCTTGTCGGTTAACATAAGATTTTGAATTTTTGGCAGGCTGAAACCATTTTAGGTGTTGAAATTCAGATACCTTATTCATCTCAGGTCGGTTAAAATATACGATTTTGGCAGACTCAAACCGTTTAGGTGTCTGAAATTCAGATACCTTAATTTATCTGAGGTTGGTTAATATAAGATTTTGGCAGACTCAAACCGTTTTAGGTGTCTGAAATTCAGATACCTTGTTTATCTCAGGTCGGTTAAAATATGCGATTTTAGCAGACTCAAACCGTTTTAGGTGTCTGAAATTCAGCTTCCAAATTTATCGCTTGTCGGTTAACATTAAAATATTTTGAATTTTGGCAGACTCAAACCGTTTTAGGTGTCTGAATATCAGATACCTTGTTTATCTCAGGTCGGTTAAAATATGCCATTTTAGCAGACTCAAACCGTTTTAGGTGTCTGAAATTCAGCTTCCAAATTTATCGCTTGTCGGTTAACATTAAAATATTTTGAATTTTGGCAGACTCAAACCATTTTAGCTGTGTGAAATTTAGACACCCTATTTATCTCAGGTTGGTTAATATACACAATCTTGGCAGATTAGAGCCGTTTTAGATGTCTGAAATTCAGCTTCCCCATTTATCATTTGTCGGTAATATATCAGATTTTGGCAAACTCAGATTTGTTTTAGGTGTCTGAAATTCAGATATCTTATTTATCTCAGGTCGCAGTTGATAGAATGATGTCTCGTTTAGTTCAATACGTTGTTTTTGGCAGAGTCCCTAAAAACTGTCTGCAAAAAACGCCAATTTGATTTCATAAATGAAAATCTTTGAATTTTTTGGGTTTTTTTCATCAATTTTGCGGAAAAAAAAATAGTTTGGAATTATTGAAAATAGTTTGGAACGCGTTTAGGTTTATGATAAAACATAATGCACTTGATGGTCTTCTTTCTGTGTTGAAAGAGAATGGGCATCCAAACTTGCCTCTTACTGCTCGTGCCTTGCTGCACACATCCAGAAATATAACCATTCAGGAAAAGTCTGGATTGGAATATGTTTATTTTCCTCTTGCTAATCAATTGTTGAAACACTTTAAGAAATATCCTTCAGATGTAATTGCTAGGACTAATTCTCTTGAAATTTCTTTGAATGTTGATGGTCTTCCATTATTTAAGAGTTCAAGGAAGTGTTTATGGCCAGTATTATGTGCCATTGTAAATATCACACCTGTAGTTGTTTTCCCAGTGGTTTTAACCTGTGGTAATTCCAAACCAGATGATTTGCATTTTTTGGAAGACCTAATTAGAGATTTGAATAATCTTCTACAGAATGGGCTCCAAGACGGTGAAACTGTTCTTTCAGTTTGTTTAAAATGTGTAGTTTGTGATGCCCCGCTAGAGCCCTTGTAAAAGGCACAAAGTTGTGTTCTGGCTATTTTGGGTGTGATAAATGTGCACAGAAGGGCATATGGGTTGGTCGTGTTGTGTACTCTCTGATTAGAAATGTTGAGTTGCGGACAGATCTTTCTTTTAGAGAACAAGTGCATGAAGGGCATCATAATGGTGTTATTCCCTTCAGTAAATTGCCAGTTGATATGATTAAGAAATTTCCGATGGACTACATGCATCAATTGTGTCTGGGCGTCATGAAGAAATTGCTTCTGCTATGGTTACGAGGAAAGCGAGAAGTTAAGATATCGGCTGGCCAGGCGGAGTCTATCAGTACTAAATTGATAGAGGTCAAGTCTTCCATACCCAGCACATTTGTACGTAAGCCACAGAGCTTAGCAGAAATTGATCGGTGGAAGGCCACTGAGTTTCGGCAATTTCTTTTGTATACTGGAAAAATTGTTTTATCCGGTATCCTAAGACCAGATTTATATGAGCACTTCTTATCTCTTAGCGTTGCTAGCTGCATTTTGGTGTGCCCTATGTTAGCTAAGTCTTACAGGGAATATGCAAAGCAACTCATAGAATACTTTGTTGAGCAAGGCAAATGTTTGTATGGTGATGAGTTTTGGGTATATAATGTGCATAGTATGGTTCATTTGGCAGATGTGGTTGAAGAGTTTGAAAGTTTAGACGCGTGTAGTTCTTTCCCATTTGAAAACTACATGCAAAAGTTGAAACGTCTTGTGCGATCAGGGAAGAGTCCAATTGCACAGATTGCAAAACGCATGAGTGAACACTCTGGCCCCATTGAACTTGTAGATGAGGATGCAGTCATTGTAAAAAATCCAGATAATGTTTTTATTTTGTCTGAATCATCATGTTGTGAAGTAGTAGATAAGACTGGCAATCATGATCACAATGGGGATGAATTATTTCAATGCCGAGTTTATAGCAAAACTGAATCCATCTTCATGACTCCATGTGATTCATGCCTCATTGGTGCTTACAAGGCTAACCAACGCTTGACAAATATGAGACTACTGCCTTCCACAGATCTCAAGAGAAAAGCCATAAAGATTAATCTTGGCCCTGACAAAATTATATTCATGGCTATATTGCACACAAAATACTAACAGCACTCTGCACTGAAGGTACTTGTTTTAATTATAATTCTGCACCTCTAAAATCCAAAAAAATTATGCAATTTGTTTAATTATTGTTTCTGTTATAGATGGCAAACAACATATATGCTGTCGTTGAATTTATAGAGGAACAATTAGTGGAAATTGTTGCAACATGTTGCATTGAGACAATTGATTGTGTAAGTAGTTAGAATTTGTTGAATTTTGTTCACTTGCAGAATAGTTCTTTGTGCACCCAACATAAAACATTTGGGTGTTACCCAGTTTCCTTTTTCTAAATTGTGATAATTGCTGGCTAGATTTGGTTGTGAAAACAGGGTACATGTATCATGCCAAATTTTTGACTTGCTAACACCCTGAATAGACCATTCCATGATGATCTTATGTTGCTAAATACTCTAGTTTAACAGCATTTTTGTTTACAAAACTTGTCATTCTAGGAATTATACTGCTACTGGCCACGAAATAATGCATCTCATAAATTAAGGAAGCTCGAGATTCCAGACAAAGAAACTTGGATTGCTTATAAAGTCAGAGTTTTCTCATATACAGGTTTGTTTTTAATAGCTTTGAAAATTGTGTTGGGAGCTCTTTGAAGGTTCCAACCATTACAGTAATGGCACTTTTTAACACTTTATCTGGACACCTGCCCTAAATTGCCAATTAGAGTTTTATATGCCATGTTTTATTATTATTAGATTCAGTAGCAAAAGCACAAAAGATTTTGAAAAAGGCTGAAGAAACATCAAATGTTGAATCCGATTCAGATTCTGGCCATGCAAAAAAAAAGAAGGCGCACAAAAGCCAGTTTATTTCAATGTTCAGAAGGCAGTGATAGTAAGTTCTTTGGTATTGGTCAACAGGCTACTGTAGTTGAAATGTTGAGGGCATTAGGTTTGTATTTCTTGCATAGTAAAGATGGGATTTTTGCCCTGAGAAAAAGTGTTCTCAATCATGACCAGGTGTGGTGTATAGCACTTATATTGTTCTGCAACTGAGGTTATAGTTGTTTCTCTCATTTACATTTTAGCGGATGAAGTTATCTCAAAAAATGGGAAAAAGAAGTCAGCCCCTACATCATCTTTCCCAGTTATTACACCATTGCTCCCTGGTGCACCGAGCTTTTCATCAAATCCATCGAATGAAATGAGTCTGGCCATGGCTCAGAGAAAGGGTTTGTCAACCTTCGATGTGAGCAATAGTGTTATGTGTAATTAAATATGACCAGTGCAAATCACATATTGTTTTGAATAATTCGCAAAATCGTCTTTCTGATGCCTGATATTTTGAAAGTAGTTAAATAGGGTCATACTTTTTAGTTAAAACGTTTTTATTGCTGTTGTATTAATTTATGCTTTGTTGATATTCAGAAATTTTTAGTGCCCTGAGCAATCCTCTCACTGATACATCTAGGACCAGTTTAAGTTCTGGTGTACAGAATGTCTATGGAAGTAAGAATGTTCCATTTGATTTTCTAGCTTTTACTGTACAGTGTATGTACGTGTATTGAGTCATTAATTCATATGCGAATTGTGAAATATATTTGCTTTTGCTAGACCAGCCTGAGGCTATTTTTTATCAAATAGCTGCTGAAACTCCTGAAGGCAACAGGAATTCATGTGAAAGAAGCCAGCATTACAGTATGTGTACTTGATTTCATTATGCTTTACCAAAGAGAATATTTTATGTAGTGGTAGTCTTTCTCAAACAGTTACTAAAAAAGAAATCACTATTTCAAATCTGGACATAGCTGGAAGGAATAAAAATTGTGCTCAACTTAATGTTGCATATCTTATGCCTACTGAACACTTTCTTGCTGCAATAACGGGTCATGTTGTGAAGCCATGATAAAATTTTAAATGTTTTTATTATTAAAAAATAAAGGAAGTTAATGTTATACGGGTCTTCGTATCGTAGTGTCGCGGGTCCTAGGACGCTTGTCCGGTCGGCTACTTGCCCCCTCCGGTGAGTACAAATATGAGCCCAGTTTGCCTGATCGAGTTGTTAGTTGCTTGCGTGACCCATCCCGCCCCTTTCCCTAACGACTTCACGCGATGTTGTAAACTCTACGGGAGAAGCGTCTTATTAATCTCGCTGGGGTTTGTTTTTTTTTTTGTTAGTTTGTTTTGCAGGATTAAGCACAGTTCTTTTCACACCCGTTTTGGTTGTGGAATGGGTGTTTGGGGTAAAGGTAAATTCATTAATGATCGCCACATTTACAGCTATTTTTTTTGTGTGTGTGTGTGTACTTTGATGTTCGTATCGTTTATTCCACGGTTTCACTTCACACTGTTATTTTCAGGGAGTTATTTTAACACCCCCAAATTTCATTTTTCGGGGTGTTAAATTTTGGTGCTATTTTGACACCACTTTTAGAGTTATATTAACTCCTCCGTGGAGTAACGAGGTCTTCGAACGTTGATTAGTATGCAAAAATAATCCCATCTAGAGGGGTTAGAGGAATTAACTCCATTTTTGGAGTTAAATTCCTCTCATTATATATTCATAATGGAGATTTGAAAACAAGGAGTGAAGATTGGTGATTCACATCGCGTTAATGATAATTTTTATTGAAATTGAACAAAATCTTGTATTGAAATCATTTACTACATCAGAATACGTGATGAAAAGATTGCCTCGGATAGTTCTGGTAAGTTTATAACGATAAATGTCATAGAATCAATCATTAAATAGCGAAATACATGGTCGATCGGCTGGATTAAAGCATTGACAACCGATCGTTATACATCGTATAGCGCATTATTATATAAGGTATTCAGCGCATTAAAAATATCATAACTTACGGTCTTGTAGTTCTAGCCTGGAAGGCCTTAATTGAAGTTTTTTCGAAATCAAATTTTCTATATAAAAGAGCTCATTTGATATATTTATGGAAATGCGAATTCCCCAGGTTTATATTTTTGGTACTTTAAAACATGATTTATTCATGAAATATTCAATAAAACTATTTTTAACCTCTTTATGTGCAAGAAATCCAAGCATGCTTGTTTATTTCAGTTTATAATAAATCAAATAATAAAAATTTTCCTGCTTTTTGTTAATTATTTCGCAATGAATCTTCTTTATTTTTATATTCAGGATCACCTTAAAATAACCAGGTAATATGGGACATTGTAATATCCATTCCTGGTTCTTTTTAATAATTGTCTGAAAGGTGGTCAATATTTGAGTGTAATGCTCAGATGCACATTAGCTATTTACACAACCAAGAAGTGCTATAAACATTTGATTGGTGCATTTTTGGATAACATATATATGTGAGAGTTAAGTGGCATTTAAAAGCTTGGTGATTTGCAGTCTTCCATATCAAATGTGGTCTTTTATGCTACAAAATTTTAAGTAATTTCATCTCTCAAAACTGACCCTTAAACATGTTATATATGATTATGAAGCTATATATATTCATAAGGCTATAAATACAATTTTTTGAAAAAACTATTTTATGTTAATATTATCTGTCAAAGAACCATGCATTGAACAGTGCAGATCATGTGAATCAAGCATTAAACTGTGCAGATAATTTAGAGCTATAATTATACACAATATGTATTGCAAGGCAGGTTTAATCAGAAATCAATTTTAAAAAATTTGACCTTTTGAATTAATATTCTTGAGGGCTCATGAAAGTTAAATTTTCATGTATGAAAAATAATTAATTTTATGTCTTTTCCATTGTCCCACTTGGAGACCTCAATAACATTTATACAAAATCACCAACAACATCAAATCATAGATTAATTAAACTGAAGAAATAAGTGTTTGTTAGGTACCACAGAATATGTTCATAAATTAATAAAGCAAAAAACATTACTAATAGTATCCTAACATTAACTTTCATTTTAAATTTTGACAGTTGATTTTAAAATCAAGACAAACTGAGTCAACTAATCAAGAAAAAGAAAACCTCATGATGTGGGTTGAATTGCCAGGGACACCTATGCTAAGACTTCAGGTCTTTATACAGCTCAGTGGCCGGGTCTTTCTTGGCGAAATATTTGCAAAGTACACACGAAGCCCTCGCTCGCTCCGTAAAAAGTTCTCTTTCTCGGTACTTTTCGTTCGAAAATTGTAAACTTAGTAGAGGATTTGCGATTTTGGATGCGAAAAGCTGGATTTGGCGACTAGTGCGAGCTATTTTAAGGTAAATATTTGAAGTTTTTTTGCATTTAGTCTTCCCGCCTTTTTATTGTGTTAACTTGGCCTGCAAAAACAGACAAATTTATTGCAAGATTCTTATAGTTTGATTCTAAAATGTTTTTCAAATAGTTGTTCTATAATTTTTGATGCTGGTCGATTTATTTTTTCTGTGGGGCTGTTGCCAAAAGAGTTTTTCAGTCGCAAAACTGACGGCGAAGTATTTTTTTGTTTCTGATCAGCATGAATACATGATATCGCGAGCCTCCGATATTTACCTTAAAGTTCCTGGGATATTTTAATAGTCTATAACAATTCGAATTCGTATCTTTAGAAGCAGTAGAAGGACAGAAGTCCACAATGCCCGGTAGAGGGTAGAAGAAGCAATGCCAATGGGAAACTCAAACACAGATTTCAATACAAGAAAGCCCTAACCAGGCCCTAACCTAGCGAAACGATGTTGAAAACAACCCCAAAATAACTGTTCAATTCTCAATGGACGAAGCAACTTACCATGATGCAGTAAATCTAGGTATGTGGAATTTTTTTCTATTTTTTTATATTAGCTAAGCCTAAGTTACTTGAAATTATTCCTTCCTTATACTCACATGTTTCTGCTTATTTGTTTGAGTATGTTTGCATTGTGGATCACATAGAACATATAGATTTTGAAGGTCTGTTGAACAATGTGCTCTGTTATATGCATACAAAGCACGCTACTCGAATTTACACTCATATACATGCAATTTTTCTATTTGTTCGTAGATTGAAGACTCGTTTCGTGCAATTGGCACAACAGGAAACCTCCGAAAATTTTACTACGAGGAAAATTGTAAAAGAAGAAACGTGGATCAGTATTGCTTATACAGCCAGGTCATCATCTTGGTAGAGTGAGTCTTAGCTTAGTAGAACTCTAGTAGAACTGAACAACCAGTGTCTTAATGACTATACCATTATGTTTTAGGCATGCATGGTACTCCACTTAAAAACATTTTCTAAATTTTTTGCAAATGTGCATGTGTGTTAAAGTGTAAATAAAAAGTATTAAAGAGCTATACTATAGAAGCAATTCATTTAATGCGTAGTTGACTTGCTGTACTCAAACAAAAATGTAATTGATCTCATGTATTCAATATTATAATAATATAATAACGATATTTGTGCTGCATTGTTTGTTGACTCGATCGGTATTATAGGTAGAAATCTTCGATGGAACGGAATATTTCGCTCAATTTATTTATCCTTTCAATTGTGAAATTAAACCGAGGCAGATTTACTGGATAGATCACAATTGAAAAGAAAATCAAGCCAAAAATTTCCTTCGATCGAAGTAATTTACCTATATAGTAGAAAACCGGCCTAACACCTAAAACGGTGTTAAATGTGTTTAACTCCAAAAATGGAGTTGTGTTTTAAGTCCAGAATTGGAGTTAAATTAACTCCAAAAGCGGTGTTAAATTATAACACCAGAAGTGGAGTTATTCGTTACTCCAAAAAGCTACTCATTTTGAACCTTTTTTTTTTACCCCTTTTTTGGTGTTAAAATAACTCCCTAAAAATAACAGTGCAGTGACTCACGTGTGACAGTTGATCACGGGATGGAGGAGGTACCGTTAAAATAGCATGGTTCGTTGAGTTATTATCTGCGCCGAAAACAGCAAACTCAAAAGAAACACCGTTTCACCCCTAGCCCGCCCGTTTCGCTCGGATACCGTCTCCATCCCTACCGATCGGCAGTGGGCAAAAATATAGTGTAAGAGCTGGTGTGCTATCGTACTGATGTGAGCCTTAGGATCCGTTAGAACGTTAAGTACTATTTAAAACACATGTGTTTTATCACATATATAACACGAGACAAAGCTGAGTGTTTTATATGTCATAAAACATGGTCAGTGTGCATATGGGTACTATATATTCTAGAACATTGCGCTATATTGTTCAGAGTCATATTTATAACTTTTTGCATTTTCAGTAATTTTCTTTCTCAATTGTCAGGTTCTGGTGCAACTACAGACTCTTTTGAAACACCAAAATCAGGCAATCGCAACTCTCTACATCAGGATCACGACAGTAAGTTGGCGTGGTTTCTTTAGAGTCCATGAGATCTTGTCTGATTTTTTGTTTTGAGGATATGTTGTTTCAATTATATGCACGTAATGTAATAATTTAATATTAGTAGAATCATACTAGCATACTATCGCAAATGCTGAAATTCGATTGGCTACTCTACTCGCTATCTAATTGTTGATAGATAGCGAGTAGCGAAACATTCGTATTTCTGGCGTATTTTTTAAAAAAATGGCCTCCGGCTCGCGGTTTTCTGAGGTTTCTGAGGATGAACTTGATTGTTTACTTGAGAAGGCAATTCCAGAGAAGACTAAAGCAGCCACAAAATACGGGGTCAAGATATTTAAAGGTAAAAAGTTCAATTAAATTAACTAAACAAGCATTGAGGTTGAGTCGTTCGCATTTTAATAACGATGTCAACAAATACAAAAACAACAAATTAAATAAACCAAAAACAACCTTTTTCCTTAAGAATGGTTTGCAAGTCAAAACAAGTTCAGCACTCCTATCGAGGAGCAGTCGAAAGCAGAGCTAAATAGATGTCTGCAGCTGTTTTATGCCTGTGTTCGGCAGAAAAATGGGACGTGTTTTAAAGTTTCTTCACTAAAAGCTATTCGAGCTGCACTCGACCGCTACCTGAGACAACAACCAAACAACAAACCTTGGTCGATAGTTGGCAACCCGGAGTTCAGTTTGGCAAATAAAACACTCAACGCTATTTGTGTCAATATGATGAAGGAGGGGAAAATAAGTTCGGTAACCCATAAAAATCCCATAACGAAAGAGCAACTACAACAACTTTTCAAGACCGGGCAACTCGGCAAAGCTGAAACAACAAACCCGTCTCAACTACTCCGAACTGCATGGTTTTACGTTACACTATACTTTGGAAAAAGGGGGCGAGAAAACTAGCGAAAACTGTTGAAGCAAATGCTAGTTCTTCGGGAAACTCCAGGCAAACGAAAGTACTACGAACTTCGAAAGGACCTACCTGGAACAATGTTGGCGACCAAAAATCATCAAGGAGGTCTCGATGACAGTGCTGACGAGTCAGATGGGAAAATGTTTGAAACCCCAGATTCTCTTCGCTGTCCCGTAAAAACACTGGAAAACTATCTGAAACACCTCAACCCGAACGTAGAAAGTCTTTTTCAGCGACCAAGACCAGAATCTGTGAAATTTAACCCAGATATTGACGAGGTTTGGTTTTGTCAAGCGCCAGCTGGTGAAGCGATGCTGGTTAACATGATGAAAGTTATGAGCAAAAATGCAGGAATCGAGCCGTATCTGACCAACCACTGTGTCCGTGCAACATCTGTTACCGTTCTTTCGGACAGTAATGTCGAGGCAAGGCACATAAAATCTGTTACCGGTCATAAGTCAGACCAATCGATCGAGTCTTACAGCGTTCGCCCGTCCTTTCGCCAGAAAGAAAATATGTCCAACATATTAAGCCGTTTTATTAACGAAGACAACGAAGACGAAGCCTCCACTCTTCGATGGTGAATTGGCGATCCAATATTTTGACGAAAAAACATCAGTGTCAAACCGAAGTGTTCAAAATATTCATCCAAACTACTTCAACCAAACACAGCCTTACACTTTTAACAACTGCTCGGTTTCAATCGTCAACAACTATCGTTGAAAAGCCTTACACCAAAATGCAAGGATTTCTTCTTTGAATGATTTATATACTTATACCCAAGCCAGTTTCACTTTTTTATAAGTTTTCCTTGATAAATTCTTGCATGGCTGTTTGTTTACGACTTGTCTGAAATAATTATTTATCTAACTGTTCGAAGACGTGCATGCAAGCATGCATGCCTCGTGACGTTGACGTTACGTATTATTATTGATAACGTGTTAATTATTTATTTAATGAAGAAATAAATTAATAAATTATTTTGTCGAATATTTTAATTGTGCTTGATCTCTGATTCTACTAAAACAATTAGATTACTTGCTCTCAATTTCCATGAGGTGATAGTTGATTCGGGCTTCGCCCTCATCAACTATCACCTCATAGAAATCTCGAGCTCGTAATCTAATTGTTAATTATGTGCATGTATGTTTTCTGGTGTGGCCAGTCATTTCCCAATATCAAGAAAGCTGGTCATCCATTCCTAACAAAGTTACATAATTAATAGTATAAATACATTTAAAATGTCATTAGGCTTCAAAGATCTGTTCTGACGAAGCTTGATATAATGCTTGAAAAACAAGAAGAAGCATTATCAATTTTGCGGGTAGTACTTGGTGCCACAAGAGGTGTTAGTGGAAATGAAATGCTTGAGGATATTATTCCCAATCCTCTGGACTCAGTTGAGGAATTGGAAAACCTTAATGATCGACTTGCAGATGAAGATGCTAGGAAAAAAATGGTAATGAGCATACTGCAGACACCCTGGGTTGCCATTTGTTCTGCCACGTACTGTTTTTGTTCACGATAAATTAATTAATATAAATATTTTACTTTTAGTTACAATTCTTCCTTGCTCTGTGTAGGCATAACCATGGTGTTAGCACAAGAAGAATCCTGGCTAAGCTCGGAACAAACAAGCTGTGGTCATTATATAGTCTGAAGGGGAGAAAAGCAAAGCGGGCATTTAAAGAACTTGCTGTTTCGAAAATTGTTATCAGTAAGTATAGCATAGTATATTTGTAAATTATTGTTTGGCGCATGATATTTGTGCCAGGCTTTACCAGGAAATAATGAATTATAATATATTCTTTTTGGTGATGAATGTACCCATGTACTGTACAGGTGCTTTAGTGCTAATCCACCTTTCGAACAACTGGCTCATTGCTATTAACCCTTTCTGATAATTAGCTATAATTGTTTTTTTTTGTTCAATTATAGAGGCCGTCTATGTGTTCACAAAGGTGTAAGTGAAATAGACATCGAGGAACAAATTGCAGAGTATTTGAAGCATGCTCCACAAAAATCCGGTGGCTCTAGATACAAGATAACTATAACTCACCTCTAATTGCTAGAGTACGAGGCAACAAACTGCAAGTTTAAGTGATTATAGAACAATAGTTAATCGTATCATGAATTACCTTCTATTTAACAGTCGTAAAGTACCTAAACTATATTAATCAAAATTATCTTTTCCGATTCATACTAAAATTTTGTTTTCACTCTACACAATACCCCTGCCCATAAACACTACATACATCAAACGCATGATGTACGCAAGAAACAGCGTAAAGTCATAAAAAGTAAACCATATAAATTGTTAAAGTAATTAATTTCTATGTAAATATTTTTTACAATAAATGTATTTTTAAACTAACATTATTTGTATTTATTCACCACTTTTGTATAAAGTCACATACAAGCATGTCATTCCATTCTCTGCTATCTGTAAACATGTTTGCAATGGTTGACATTGGAATATGCCTACACCGATACAAAGCAAAGAATAACGTATACTGTTCACTCACGTCCAAGTTGGGTGCTTGCAAAACCCTTGTGTTCCAACTAAATGTACTGCAATGTTTCTCCAAAAACCGAGTAAAGTGTTAAATGTAGAATCCTGGCGCTTTCGCGTACGAGTCCCAAAACTCTCCTCGCCCATCTTCTGTGACAAACAAGGCACACCAATGACTTCCGGGTTTGTTACTCTGATCAGTATTGACCACGAAACCTTCTGGCCTTCTTCTTATTAAACCAGGTAAACGATCGTATGGTAAAACGTCTGTAAAGACGGTCTTTGTAAACAAGACACTTTTTAATATATTCAAAATCTGTAAGGTATTCATGTTCAGTTAGTGAAGTCACACAGCACGTTCCTGTTCGCGTCAATTTCGATAAGACTTTGAAATTCACCAAGCACCACAATATTTATAGCCGCCTCCAAAGCCGTTCCAAACTGAAATTCGATCAAGACATTTCCGTTTCTAATTGGTTGTGCATGATCACGAAGGCACAGGTCTGGAGTGAGATCGAACACAAACAGTGTAAAACCGTCTGCATATTCTTCACGAGTTATACCATTGCCCTGATTCTCAAACATTTTATGTGTCCCAGCATACAGTTTTTGGAATGCCGAAATGTAGTTACTTCCTCTTGCACTTGCAAATTTTAGTTGAAATGGTTTTCCAGGTAGGTTTTCACCGTTTACATTCAGCCCAAAATTTGTGATGTCGTAGTTCTTGAAGTTGAACGGATTCTTTGAATAACTACCATTGAACGCATCTGCATCGACCATACCAATAACGACACAATTTGGTAGAATACCTTGAAATATGTTGGGTTGATTTCCCGACATGTTTCCTCGGGGTGCAGTGACAACTTTACATTCGACGCGATTGATTGGATATTTGGCCGTCGTATGCTGTAGGGCTTGGGAATGGTTTATTATTACACTTGGCGATATGTTGACGCGTCGCACGCGAAATACACATTCTTCAATAACTACTTTCAAACTTGGGTCCTCAGCAGATGAGACTGAACAAAATGGGTTTCGTGATCTAACCAGTTTAATCTTTATTGGAACAGCCCCGAGAATATAGCGCTCTTGTGCGAATAGATCCGAATGTAGTCTCCCTTCCATAGCAACAGATCTACTCCCACGAGTATGTGTATGACATTCTTTTAGACCTGTATTCACATCTGCTTGACGAGCTAGCGGGTTGACATTGTCCATTTTTCCCGTACTATCTTTGTGAAATAAAGCAGAGGTGAGATGAGAATCCTTGGCAACTTTGCTAAAGTTCAGGATAGTTTCCATATAAGCTTGGTAAGGAAAGGCCGTACTGGACGGGGTTACCAATTTGTTGTTTAGGAACACTTCTACTTGTGAGAACAGTGCATGCATCCAGACGTTCACAGGACCGACCTGGACATCTTGAGCAACATTTGCACCGTCTGGCATTGTAATCTTTGCTTAACGTGCAGGTAATTGTTTGCTAAATCAATATAAACTCCGGAGTTTGCTGCGCAAAGGAATTCAATTGTGTCAGAGGCTGTTATGCTTGTGACAGGATCAATATCCTCCC